ATCTACAAGAGGCTTTTAGGGCTCTGACCAATTAAAATTCATATTAATTGAATTCCATTTCTTGCCAAAGGAGGAGAACCACTCTGGTTATTTGCTGTTGTCAGATCTTGCATGTCTGTGAGAGACCTGGCCCTCCAGTAACACAACAGGTGCAAACAGGCCAGAGTCAGACACAGCTTTTTAACTAGAATCTTCTTCTTAGGGATATATTTGGAGAGCCCTGGTGTCTTTCAGATTAGCATATGGGGGGAAAACCCACTCAGATGTAGCCCAACAGGGGTGCTTTGATCCCACGTGAGGGAATTGTGCCCTTGAGGATATACCTTACTCACCGTATGCAGGCTGCTGGTGACCTGCTTCCCAAGGGGCTTGTGCTCAGACGAAATACTCATCTTCCCCAGGAGCTGAGGGCTCAGTTGTTTGGGAAAAGCTGCTGCTCGGTGCTAGTGTCCTACCCCGCGTGCAGGATGGCTCCCAGCTGTGCTCCAATCCTCCTTCACTTGGTCTTTCTTTGCTGGGTCAGCTTTCCCCTGCTCCCAACCCAGCTGCTGCCACGGACGCTCCAGTTTGTCCCAGGCAGAGACAAACCTGGTTCCAGCGGCAGGTGTAGGGAGAGGGGAGGAGACAGCCTGGAAGCGGAAGTATTTGCTCATTAGTTTTGTGGCAGCCAGCAAAGTGCAGGGTGGACTGGGGCTGGCTGCCAGCACACACCTCGTGCATTGCTATCTGAGCGGTGACTAAGGGCTGGATAATCCCTTCCCAGGGAGGCCCAGTGCTTGTGTGTCCACCTCTGCCTTGGCAACTGGTTGTATCAAAACCAGTAAACATTTTCACAGCTATTTGGCCTCCGTGCACTGCTGTTTTAAAGGACAATTAATCCCAAACAATTTCATTGATCTCATTTGTCACTCACACTGATGAGAGATCTACAGGGTATCTACAACTTGTCCGAGGTGGTGGCATTTTCTTCCTCACCCATACAATCTCTGGACACTGAGTAATTTGTGCAAAGTAAATAAAACCAAACCTGAATCCCTGCTTGTGCATAAACTCTTCTTTTCAATTGGCCATAAATATTTGTTATTATCTTTGCATGACATGGTTTTCTAATATCCTCTATCCACCAAATATAGAACGTGGACAGCACCACAGGTTTAGTGGTTGTAAGACTATCACAATATCAAAACACTCACAAGGATGCAGTGATGGTGAACTTGAAAGTACTTAAAGGGAGGCGTATAAAAAAAGGAGAGTGATTTTTTTCCTGAGCACATAGCGACAAGACAAGGGGGAGCAGCTTGAAGACAAAAGAGGAGAGATTTAGATTAGATATAAGGAAGAAATTCTTTACTGTGAGAATGATGAGACATTGGCACAGGCTGAGAAAACTGTGGATGCCTCATTCCTGGAAATGTTCAAGGCCTGGTTGGATGGGGCTTTGAGCAACCTGTTCTAGTGGAAGGTGTCCCTACTCATGATGGAGTGGGGGTTGGAACTGGATAATCTTTGAGGTTCCTTCCCAATCCAAACCATTCTGTGATTCTATGATGATTCTCTGTCTGTGTTAATTTATTAAATGCAGAGTATTACATCAGAGATAGCCTAAATAACCTCTTCAGAATCAGACCACAGCCCTACAGGGTCTCCTTTATTTCATTCTAGGTGATTCTAAGTGCACTGTTGCTTTCAAATTTGTCTTCAGGCCACTCATCACTTCTGTGTCTTTGTTTCATTAAGGTGGCAAAATTGCCATGGGCATGATTGTCCAGAGATGTGTCTTAATGTTTGTAATCAGAGACAATATCTTTTATTAGATCAGCTGATACAGATGGATAAAACTATCCATGTTTTAGGGCACACAAGGCATTCCCATGTCTGTCAGATTCTGCTTCAGCTTGCTTGGGGTTTTTTTCCATTTTTTTCCCCAGTTTCTGTTAGTCTCATAAAAGGTGTTATCCCCTTTACCAACCTTACCTCACTCTCTTTTGTTTCAAGCTGCTTCCCTGTACCAGCAACCACAGGAAAAATCACAGACAAATACAGCACTTCCTAAAAATCTTCCAGTGGGAGATATTAATGATGAAAATTGACAGCATGGTATATGAGGAAATAATTTGCACAAAATCTGCTAGCTGGACACTAGCTTTGTTGCTTTTGTATGCTCCAGGGATTTTGCTGGATGTGTATCCTCTCAAAGGACAGCATTGCTCTGAACAGGAACTTGAGGCACAGAGGGGAAAACAGTTACAATTTAGACTGATTTGCTTCTCTTGAAACCTGTCCTCATGAAAAGCTCCATCAAAGTTGGCCTCTGACTCTTTTCAATACTTTGTGCATTTGGGTAAAGCTATCATTGAACCCTTACATTGAACCACCTTACATTTTGCTTTTGGTTCTCTGAAGCACCCTCAGGGATCCTCAATGATAACCTCTGTCTGAGTTATATGTGCTGCTTTGAATAGAAATGCTTGAATTTTCCCTTTGCCACACCAGCAGAATTGGTAGTGCTGGATGCATCAGTGAGGTCTGCTTGGGACCCCCGTTTTTGTGACGTGTAATAAATTTTTGAAACAACAGGGAGACCTGGAAAATCTGCATGTTCTGCTGCAAATCCTATTCTTTGGACTGGCTTATGTAGGTGTTTCAGATAATATCTTGGATATAGCTGACAGAATTCACATCCACCATGTCTTCGATGCTGGAGGTGGTAACCTTTCCTTCTGCAGCTGCAGAACTGGAAAGATGGGTGGACCATCACCTCTCTGCTCACACAAGCTTTTCACTAGGGCAGGGTGAAGGGCAGTAGATGAGTTTGCCTTGCTTATCTGAGAGATTTCCCCAAATCAGAATCAAGGGTGGCTAATGGCATTTGAGGCCAAACCTTCAGTGCCACAATAGAAATCCTTACCACTTTAGAAAAAGGAATAGTTGCCAGCTCATGTCCACAGCTCTCTTCTACCTGTTACACCAACCACGTCTGGTCCTTCAGTGTGATGAACATACTGGTCTGGTTCCTCTGCCCACAGTTTTTATTCGGTGTAAAAGAGATATTTCCAAGCCTGTGAGCTCTTTCAGGCAGGGACCATCCTTTCCCTGTTTTTTCATGGAAGAATTAGCCTGTGCCTGGACCTTGGATGAGCAGCCACAATATGAATCATAAGAATAATCATATTCGTGCTTAGAAATTTGGGGTTACTCAAGAAGAATAACTGGACAGTGACTTTGTGAGGAATAAACACGTGTTTTTTCGAAAATTATATAAGTATGTATCTAACAGTGAGCTGGAGCATTTCTGTACTGATACACATATTTACTCAGAGAGTGATGAGGCAGAGGTTGCCCAGAGAAGTTGCGGCTGCCCCACCCCTAGCAGTTGTTCAAGGTTAGGTTGTATGGGGCCCTGATGACACTGATCCAGTAGGTGGCACCGCTGCCCACGGCAGGGGGGTTTGGAACTAGGAGATCTTTAAGGTCCCTTCCCACCTAAACCACTCCATGGTTCTGACTGCGCATCAGTTTGGAAAGTAGTTTATGGAATCAGTTTCTGGAAAATAGTACTTTCCATAAAAGCATTTCTAAAATATTTATCTCCTTAATATATTGAATGGCAGCCTCTGTTTAAGAGACTCAGCAATTCAAGAACCACTCCTAAACCAAACACCATGTGCTGTACAAACACTGTCAGCATTCCTAACTGATGCCTTCCAGCCATTTATCAACTCCACCCACCTTCTCAGGATACATTCCACTGCTAATCATCACAACCATTTTTCTCTTTTAATTTCTGTGCAATCAGAGTTTCACTAAAATAAAAACAAGGCAGGAAGTTCCTGCTCTTGTCTTCTTTTTACAGTGCTGCGGATCTTCAATTGTTGCTGAGCAATCAGGACCCCACTAAAGGGGTCAGCATGAATGAATACACGAGCAAGGCATGGAGCTGCCTGGAGGTGAATGGAGGAAACAGGGATACCATCTGCAGAATATCTGTTCATTTTAGATGGAGGCTTTTGGAGCTGATGAGTCTCTGATTTCAGTCTGAAGGATGTTATTTGCCTTTTGTGATAGGGCAGATTCAGAGAGCAACTGTAGCAACACGAACAACACAACCAGAGCCTGTTGCACCGGGCATGGTGACAATCCTCCTCTCACTACAAATGCTCAGAGATCTCCAGTTTTATAATCAACAGAGGGAAGGTGGTGGAGAACTAGTGTTTGTTCAGTCAAAGGAGCACTATTTCAACAGCTGAGGTTATTTTAAGATGTCCTGAACAAGCAAGGGGCACCTCCCTATAGTTCCCAGCTCAGTAGGACTTCCCAAGGGTGGTGTGTCTGGGAGGGAATGCATCACTTGGAGGTGGGACCCAACCTGTCCTGGAGGCTCCAACCTGCCTGTGAAGAGCTTGCAGCTCCTGCCCATCCACCCAGAGAAGGCTTAGCCCCTGGTCTCCCCACAGCTCACAGGGATCAGAGGTGAGCACGGTCCTGCCTTCCTACCCCAGCTGAGCATCCCCACCTCCTCCTCTGGTCCCAGCTCTGGAGTGTGTCACGGCCAAGCAGGGAGGAGCAGAACTGCCTCCCCGTTTTGCTGGGGCTTGTGAGAATTCCAACGGGTTGTTCACAGGAGAGGACATGGTGCTGGGTATGAAGGGCTGGATGAATGTTGGACAAGGGATGAGATGTGCAGGTACTGATGGGGTTGGGGTGCTGAGAAGCTGGGAATCCGGGAGAGAAGGGGGTGTTGTGGGAGGGAAGGAAGGATGCTGGGGAGCAGGTTGGGATCCAGCACCAAGCACAGAATGGTGGCAGGATTACACCAAGGTTTTTGCAAGGTGAGAGAGACAGAGAGCTGGGGGAACATTCATCTCAAAGCCCTGTCAAAGAAACCCAGCTCATCTCCCTGCGCTGAAGCCTAGCCTTGGTGGCCAAAGTCCTTCACCCTCATGTGCTGGGGGACAGTAGTTCTACAGAAGTGACAGCTGCTAGGAAACACAGGACACATCTGCACAAGGCTTTGAATTTCATTTACATTACCAAAGAGAATGGTTTGGAGGCACACACAGAAAAAAGCATCACTTCAAAGTTACAGATGCCTTCAACAGAGCAGCTACACAAACCACTCATTTCTTCCCTGCAGAAATCCCCCTAGGACAGGAGTGAAAGGAAGCTTGCTGGCAGGATCAGCTGTGGGATGAGTCGGATGGTACAGGCAGCACCCAGCAGGCAGACGGCCAAGCTCTGCGCTGCTCCTCGGTGGGACTTGGTGCAGGAGAAGAAGCGCCACTGGGCTTGGACGACAGACCCTGTGGGGATAACACACATGTTCAGGATGTCCTCATTCCTGTCTGAGTGTTTTCCTAAATAAGGGTAAAGTCCTGTTAGTGCCCTCTGTTGTTGCTATCATTTTTCTACGCTCTCCATTTCACTACAAGGACCTTGGCCACGAGCCCCATCCCCGATGGATCACAGGGATGTATCCCCAAGGGGCCTCGGGGATCAAAGTCCCACCAGCATAGAGAATGGGTTTGCATTTAAGACTAGGGGAAGGGTGAAGTGCTTGAGCTGTTTGCAAGTGGTGTGCCAAAGTTAGATATTTAGAAACCTGAAAGTGCCAAACTTCTTCCTAAAAATGACTGTTGCATTTTCTGTCTGAGAAAAAGATAAATACCTGGAGCACCAGTGTCTGGCAGCTCCTGGAGTCCAATCATGGTATTTCATCCACTCATCCCTTTTGTCCCTGGGATCTTTTGTGTCTGGCTAGCAGCAGAAAGACATTGCTTATGCTGCAAACTGGGGAGTCTTGGGGACAGAGTGGAGCTCACAGAGTTGCCTTTGTTCACTGACACAGCTTGCACCAATGGCAAGTGAGAAAGACAAATCCAGGAGGATGTTTCTGTTGAGCAATGAAGTGCAGACTCAGAACTCCTGGGATTTAGGGGTGTGATGCAAACATTATAACACTACACAGCTGAGGGGCATGAGGACAAAGTATGTTACTCCTCAGCCAGCTCTTCCTTGGCACTGCATGTCCCCAAGCCCTTACCTCAGAGATGGGAAGTGCAGGCTCAAGAGCTGGACTGATCCTCACTAAGGTTGATCTCCTCCAGGATCTGGCTGTACCTCCGGGTCAGGGCGTTGGTGTCCCTGGTGAGGTGGGTGAGGACCTGCTGCAGGCCACTCAGGTGGTGGGACAGGCGCTCCTCGAGCTGGGCATCCCCGGCCTCGCTGCTGTCCGAGGATGCGTCCACGTCGCTGTCGGCACCGCTGGGGCTCTGGTCCTCGACACAGGCCAGGCCTTTCTCCACCATGGGCTTGATGGCCTTGAGCAGCTGGTAGCGCTCGTACAGGTCCGTGCGGCTCTCGGCGGCCGGGGCTGCCCCCTCCTGCTCCGGGAAGACCCCTCGGAGCAGGCTGGGGAACATCACCTCCTGCTCCATCTTCTGCGTGGCTGAGAAGTACTGCTCCATGACCCTTCTCCTACAGCTCTAGCAGCGATGCTCTGCGATCTCCTGACAGTGTCACCTGCTCCCTGTCCCTGCTGGGGCTTTTTATGCAGTGCTGGGGCACCTCCCTCCTCTGCTGTCCCCTCCCCTGCCAGCCCCGGATGGGCTGGATGGCCTTGGGGTCGGGCTTGGCTCCAGCCCAGCTGGGGCTCAGCCATGCTTTGTCCCTGGCTCTGTGCAATCTCTCCCGAGCCCCCCTGTGGCCTTCACCCGAGCTGGCCGGTGTTCCCACTGCCTCCCCGTGCTCTGAGTGTGGTGGTGAGGAGGTGCCTGGGGTCTCTCAGGTACTTTCCCATCCTGCCCTCTCACCACTGTCCTTACCCCTGCTGGAGACCCAGGATGGTGAGTCTAACCCCTTCCCCCAGGGCAGACAGGTTGCAGGCAGCACCATGGGAAAGCTGCCTTGATCTGGGCAGTTTTGAGGAGTGGAGAAGGAGAACAAGTGATGGGTTTATCTAGAGAGGGCGAATTTCCCCTGCGCTCTGCCTGAAAACTCCCCTTCTTCTGTGCTGGTCTGGGGATCTCACCCAGCCCAATGATGGCAACTGGCCTAGAAAGCAACCCTGCTAAAAGAAGTGATAATGAACAGGTGATACTTGTCTGAAGGGTGCTTGCCTCAAACTGCTTATTAAAGAAGTAATAGGACCAGCAGCAGGATTTAAAAGTGACTAAGGCGTTAGAAAAGATACTTTTAAAATTCAGAAGTTGTCCCTGAGGAGAAACATGAAAGTTCCAAGTCTGAAGGAGGGTCCTTGGAGGGGCAATGACAGAAGTCAGAGACTGTGGGACCCAGCCCAAAGCAGCCCTGCCAGTATTCCAACCTCTACCCAGGCCTGGCAGAGCATCCTCCTGGTCAGGCGCTGTGAGCAGCCTGCAGCCAGCTCCTGGCTGACAGCACAGGGGGCACGAGGCAGAGACAGAGGCAGAGTCAGTGCTGGAGAGGCTGGAAGGCACCTCTGGAGACAATCTACTTCAACAACTGCTCAAGCAAGGTCAACAATGGGACCATTGGATATCTCTGAGGATGGAGATTCCACCGCCTTTCTGGGTAGCCTGTGACAGGGTTAGAGCACCTTCAGTTTTAGGAAAAAAAAAAGCTTTTTTTCATGTGGGAAGATTTTGGAGTTACCTCTTGACCTCCATCACGTCTTTACAAACACTGATCAGATCTTTCTCAGCCTTCTCTTTCCAAATCTGGACACCACCAGCTCTCTCAGACTTTCCTCATATGGAAGATACTCCTGCCCTTCTGTCACCTTTATGGCCTTTTACTGGAGTCTCTCCAGTATGTCCACGTCTCTCTTGAACCACAAAGACCAGAACTGGACACTCCAGGTGAGGCCTTACCAGGGCTGAGCAGAAGAGTAGAATTCCCCCTCCACTGCCTTTGTCCTGAGCACACCTTGCTGGCTCACATTGCCTGACCACAGAGCCAGGCCAGGGGTGAGCAGGTGTGAATCTGTGAGGTGCTTTCACCCTGCATCTGGCCAGGAAGTTGGTATGCAGCAGCAAAAGGTACAGATAAGGCCAGAGCACACCAAAAATTGAAAGACAGAGGTGTACAGGCAGGGAACATGCCCTGTGGGAAGGGATGGGAGCTTGCATCCCCCCATCGTTGGGGTGGGGAGCTTGTGTGATTAGAATGTCTAGGACTGGTTAGAGAAGGGAATTTGAGGCTTCTTACTTATTCAATATTTTAGGTCAAAACTGGGCTTTATCTCTTTTCTTCCTCACACTGAATCCTGTGCCAGGTCAATGCTCTCTGATGGATTTGCTGTCTGAACAGATTTAAAAGAAGAGCTGCCACCCTGATTTGCTTCAACAATATATAAGGAGAAGATCTTTCCCGATGGTGGC